CGAAGTTTGAAAGTAGCGTTTGTGTAATTACTCTAAGCAACCGGTTGCGCAATTGTTCGCAACTGGTTGCGTGCAGCCAAGTTGCGCAACTGGTCTGCTCAGCTGTGAGCCTGGCTTCAGGAAAAAAAGAAAAACCAGGATGCACTCACTTACAAAAAGCTTCTACACGAGAGAATCGAACAAAGTATAATCATCTTCAGCCATGATCAATCCGCTGCTGGATGAAAGCCACCCCAAGCTGTCACCAGCTCGCCCAATGCTGCGATGTAATCATGCACCGAGCACCTGCACATCTCTCTGTTTTAAATAGACTCAGGCCTCCCGTAAACGATGTGGCTTCCGTGTGGCCACTGCCCCGCCCCCACTGTTAAAACCCTCCCCTTTCCCCGCCCCCACTGTGAAACCCCTCCCCTCTCCCCACCCACTTTGAAAACAGACTCGGCTTCTCCTCCTCTGTGCATCAGCAGCAGCAGCAGCAGCGGCAGCAGCAACGTCGAGGCCGTCATGGAGCCCTCTTCCAATCCTCATCTTTCCTAACCCTTTGCTCCCGTCTCTTCTGATTCCCTCTCCCATTCTTTTCCTCATATTTCCCATTCCTTCTCTTCTCTCTTGCCTTTCATGTTCTTCCTGCTTCTTCCACGCGTTACATCATTGACTCCCCCCCCCCGTGGCGGTGTGTGCCCGCGGGCACAACAGTTGCTAATCAATTCAACACAACCGGGGCATGCGGTCTTATCTTGTGCGCACGCACGTACGTATGTTGTAGCCAAACCGTGCTCTTCGAAGTTGCCCACGACGTACGCCATCGGTGCATCGATTCATTGATTAAGATCGACGAGGGCGTTGTTAGGTACACCCCCATGGCCGACACGGCGTGGTAGGCCTTCATCCAGCAGTGGATCCGGCAGAGGTTTGTACGCTATCATTGTCTGGCACGGCGTTGTGAGATGCAGTTTTGCACCAGCGACGCTCTGTATGATTGTGATTATTATCAGTAATCGCACAGGAGAGCATTACCTCCCCAGCGTGTGCATGAGCCAAATCCAAAGCGGGATAATCATATCGGCTACACAGACTGTTGGGGAATGTATGTGTATGTTGAACTTCTTTCGCACCGTACTTAGCCAACTGTGCGAATCGTAGGTGCTTATGATGTACGCATCGGTGCAGCGATGAATTGATTAGGATCGACGTTGTTGGTACACGTGTCATATTGTGCGTGTTTAATGATGATGGTAATGTCGATGGTGCTACTGCTGTCAGTGAGGGTGATGATGATGGTGGTGGTGATAATGATGCCTGTGACAGTGATGATGATGAGGATGATTGTGGTTGTGGTGATAATGATGTTGGTGGTGATTATGAGGATGACAGTCGTAGTAATGATGATGATGACGGTTGTGCTACTGCTGCCAATGAGAACCATGATGATGATGATAGTGATGATGGTGGTGGTATATTTCTAGGCTAATGCGGCCAAACAAAACACTACAAATTAGATTTACAAAAATCGAAGCAAAAGGGATTAGGCACCATGAAGCTAAAATAACTAACAAAATAATATATTTTAAAGAATCGTGGTCCTTAATCATCTGGATGGGGGTGGATGGGGGAGCGGGCGGGGGTTAGAGAGAATGTTACATGCTCATTTGCCTCATTAACAAAATAAATAATCATACAATACGGCACCTTCCCATATCTGTCCTTCCGTTTTTGTACAAGAAAATAAAAGTATATATATTTTTTTACTTGAACGCATCCTCTTGCCTAGTTGTACGCGTACACATCGCTGTAGGTTAATCGAGTGTACAGACCGCACTGCGCATGCATTCGTCTTTGCCGGGGTGATCTGCTTTCCCGTGAAGACGTTCGACAAACAAAAAACGCCGTTCAAGGCTCCGTCCACCGGCTCCAGTCAAACGCCGTTTGGGAATTTGTTCAACTTTGCTCAACAATCGCGCCACCAAGAGGCGGGGTGGGGGGGAGGAGGCAACCTTGACTTTGCATTAAGCACACTTTTGGCTCGGCTGCGTTGACTTGCGTGTCATGGTCAAATGAAAAGCAAAAAAAAACCGCAACAAGCCACACTCTTCCGCTGGCGGACGGACAGAAGTTTACCAGCGAGGAGTGCGTACGATGCACGGGAACTCCTCGAGGCTTTGCAATGCCTTGGCGGGGTCCGATCGCTCCATCCTTGGTACATAATTGAAGAGCATGTCGGTTGAGACAGACGGAACGGAGTAATTTAGCAGCGAAGATCAATTGGAAATCTACAGGGCTGTGTCCCATATATCATTGCTTTTGTTGGGGAGAGGGTATGTTGTTTCTTTTTTTTTTCTATGAAAAGCCCACAGGCTGATGGATTCAGTGTTAACCGTTTTTATTTGCCACAGCCTCGTTGCGTTGTGTAGATTTATAAAGGTGCAGCCATGCGATTGTTGCTTGCTCCCGCCACTGTTGGCAGACGGGATTCCATGACTAGAGGGAGCTCCCGAGAGAGCGCCTTCTCGAATTGTGTTTGGCCTACTCTTCCACGCCGGGCAAGACGTCTTGGAAGATGTGGGGATACCAACATTATTACCCACCCCACCCCACCCCGCCATCACACGTGACCCGCCACCGATCGATCGATCGACCGACCGTGTGGGCTCCACCATATAAATGTTGTGTCGTTAAACCCGCCACCAGCCGACACAGCTAACTAGTAAGGTTTGTCACGTAAACAGAACACGCCAATTCCTTACTAGTACAGCAACACCGGTGCGTTGGAGAGCAAATCCACAACATTTACAATCCGAGTACGACGTTGCGCCAGTAATTGCAACCGGCATCATCAGACGGCAGCCAGATCTCTTTGTTTACACAGTATCTGGCCAAACAGTGTTTGGCTCATTCTGACAGGTCTCCCTCGCTTCATGCGGTAGTAGTAGATGCCTTCCAATAAAAAAGGGGGCACGCGAAACGAAATCGCGTGGCGTGGACCGCACACTCACCCGACCCACAATGCACCGCACGAGGAGACAGCTGCCTGCCGAGTAGCACACACAAAGATCCCGCGTGTAGCCTGTAACAGACTGTAGGGGCAAGTGCATTTAGCGAGCACCTATTAAGGCCGGCACGGCACACGAGGGGGTGGGTGGCCAGCACCACGCCCGGCCGCCTTAGTCTCTCGAGTGGCGATATTTACACACCGCACCAGGTACTTATTTGAGGCTGAGTCGACCTAGGGGAGGCCCAGGACCGGTTCAAATAATCGTCACTGGTGTTGGCCGTGAGCGGGAATTGAACACGGGTCTCCAGGTTTGTAGTGCAGTGCGCTAATCGCTACACTACTGATCCCCACAGTACACACTCACAATGTTAAACAAAAAGTAAATTATATTATTTGTACCAGGTGGAGCCCACTGAACTATTAGTTCTTTTTCAGAAGCGACCTGGCCATGAATGACAAAGTGGCTTATCATGTTGACATTCATAACAGTAGCCAAACACTCGAAACGCGCGATGTTGTTGATTCTAAATGTGGAGGAAAAAACCGGAGGACCCGGAGAAAAATCCACGCGACCACGGGGAAAACACTCCAAACGTACCGGCGTCAGGGTTGGGATCGAACCCACGACCTAATGCATGCCAGGCGAGGGAGTTAACATCTCCTAGCCACCGTGGAGCCTTCCTTGTTGTCCCCACGGCTGACCGCACAGCCGCGTGTAGAGTGAATTAAAGCCGCCCACGAGGAATTCTGCGTAGAAACAGGTGAGCCGCGTGTGCGCTAAATCGCACAAACCGAACGCGCACAAAGCGTGGGACGACCTGCCCGGTGACCTGGCAAGTCAACGGATCAACATAGCCCATCATCCCTCCGGAGTGGATAAAACGAATTCACGATTCGTTTTATCCCTTTCATCGGCAGGGCCAGGTGAGGAGGGGGCGATGCAGGCAGGAGCCATCGGCTGACGGGAGATGTTAATTAATGCATTCTTTTACCTCGACGAACAATCCTGTTGTCTTAATTAAAGGGGGTTGCGAGATGGGGCAGAGGGACCGTTCCCCATCTTTCCAACCCCTCGCTTTTCATAGCCGGTTTCAGTTCATGTCGACGGTGTGCGTACGTGATGTAACGGTGTGCGTACGTGATGTAACGGTGTGTGTACGTGATGTAACGGTGTGCGTACGTGATGTAACGGTGTGTGTACGTGATGTAACGGTGTGTGTACGTGATGTAACGGTGTGCGTACGTGATGTAACGGTGTGCGTACGTGATGTAACGGTGTGCGTACGTGATGTAACGGTGTGCGTACGTGATGTAACGGTGTGCGTACGTGATGTAACGGTGTGTGTACGTGATGTAACGGTGTGCGTACGTGATGTAACGGTGTGCGTACGTGATGTAACGGTGTGCGTACGTGATGTAACGGTGTGCGTACGTGATGTAACGGTGTGCGTACGTGATGTAACGGTGTGCGTACGTGATGTAACGGTGTGCGTACGTGATGTAACGGTGTGTGTACGTGATGTAACGGTGTGTGTACGTGATGTAACGGTGTGCGTACGTGATGTAACGGTGTGTGTACGTGATGTAACGGTGTGTGTACGTGATGTAACGGTGTGCGTACGTGATGTAACGGTGTGTGTACGTGATGTAACGGTGTGCGTACGTGATGTAACGGTGTGCGTACGTGATGTAACGGTGTGCGTACGTGATGTAACGGTGTGCGTACGTGATGTAACGGTGTGCGTACGTGATGTAACGGGCTCCCCTGCATTGCCTCTCAATAAGTACAAAAAAAAGTTGGTTTGGTGGGTGGAGGTGGGTGGAGGTGGGTGGAGGTGGGTGGAGGTGGGTGGAGGTGAGTGGAGGTGGGTGGAGGTGAGTGGAGGTGGGTGGAGGTGAGTGGAGGTGGGTGGAGGTGGGTGGAGGTGGGTGGAGGTGAGTGGAGGCGGGTGGAGGTGGGTGGAGGCGGGTGGAGGCGGGTGGAGTTGTGCGCGTCGCGCGGACTCACGCGACGGATAGTGCTCGTTGGGCGGGTAGTGGTCGAGCTGCAGGGTGGCGTTGGCGCCACTGCGCATGAACTTCACCAAGTGGTAGCGCCCGTCGTTGACTGGCGCGCGTTCCTCCCGCAGCACCACGTCACCCGTGCCCACGTTGAAGATCACCGCGATCCGCCCGTCCTCCTGCACGCAGGACGAGCGTGGGTGGTAGGGCGCGGGGCGGGGCGAGGTAGGGCAATGCACATCGGTTAAAAAGATCTTCATAGCTAATCGGATTCCTCCAGTATACATAGATATTGTGATTCTGAATCGTCAGCGATGTCGTTGGCCTCATCATCATCATCGTCGTCGTCATCGCGATCCATGGACAGATCGCCCGTAAGTGCCCACTGCACATTTTGTCATTTGTTTCCACCCCCCTCTGTCTTGTGCCGGGCACGCTCAAGTAGCGGCCACATCTTTCTGGCACCGATCTCTTGTGATGTCGTCAATGGCTCGGCCACATCGGCCACCATCATCAACATCGTCATCATCGTCGTCGTAGTCATTCTCACCATGCAGTGGCGTCCCGAAATAAGGACCACATTGCTTTTTGGTTATTTCGGTAAAGTCACGTAGAAAGAAAATACATTTTATATTTACTACGTGACTTTACCGAAAGAACCAAAAAGTAATTCCTGCAGTCACGAAAGCTCCAAATCAAGTTTAAGGACCACATTGCAGACCTCACGAAGGTAAGTCTTGGTGTCTCCTTCGTGTCTCTATTGTCTCTCTCTGCTACCTCGTCAATGGTGAGGACCGCTCTCAAACCACGTCCCACCACCACCACCGACAACAACAACAGCAGCAGCAGCATCAACAACACCACACGGAGGAAGAAGGTGTGGGGATATTCCCTCCAGAAATGGAACGATCATCAGGGACTCCACCAGACAGTAAATGCGGTGATTGCAGCCCCCCCCCGAAAATAAGGAACACCTCGTCTATTCTAGATTTAAAGCTTCCGTGACCGCTTGGATCCATACTCTTTGGTTCTATTGGGTAAAGTCACAGTCTCGTCCCTTCGCCTGATGAAGGCCGCTTGTGTTGTGGCCGAAACGTCGTCATTTTTTTGGTATTTTATTTTCACCTACGTGACTTTACCCAATAGAACCAAAGAGTATAAACACCTCGTCTGCCTGCCTGTCGCCGGAACTCAAGACTCGCCTTCCCATAAAATACATTAAAAAAAAAAAATCTGTCTCTTGACTTTTAATTTATTCTCACCTCCCATTTAACTCTCTTACGCGATTCGTTGCGCGCGGGTGCATTTTATTTTTACAATTTTACTTCTGCTCGGTCGATGTTTGCCGCTGAGGGCGCGTGACGGGTTTTTCTTTGTCTCAGTCCTGCCGTTCCGTACGCAGCCCCCGACCTCCCCACCCCCACCGTTCCGTTGCGATGCACACCAGTGCACTACTTTATTGATGAAGATATTGGCACGTGAAAAAAATAAATATTGATCGATTGATCGACGTGCAAATGAATCAGGCGCGCATCACCGATGCCAGCCCCGATACATCACGCGTGTTCCGATGGAACAAGGTGGAATCCACTCAGCTACCACCGTGGATGCCATGGCAGGGTTTACGACAAAGTAAATATATAATTCGTGCATGTTGCTGTTTTTTAAACGCCATACGGAAGAAGATTGTCATCACCATCATCATCATCGTGATGATGATGACACCATCATCCTTCTCCTTCAGTGTTCTCAAGGAGAAGATGTTTGGGCCGATTCTTCCTATAACTAATTCTCCGTTTAAAATTTTCCATCATCATCACCATAACTCTCATCACTAACATCACAATCATCATCATTGCCATCGTTATCCGAATCGTAATTTCCACAAGGTACACACGCCGTTATATTTAGGGTCTCTCACCTAGGCCAAAGACTCTCTGCAGGAGCCCCATGAAGCTCCCTTTTAGTGGAGGCCCTTCTTCCAGCAGTGCGGCGAGCGAATAATTGCAGGGCCGCAACCCTTCGCCTTTTACAAACTGCCTCTCCAACTAAACTCGCCGAGCAGACGTGAGAACGAAGGCCCGACCACCGGCACCGCAGGCAAGCAAACAAAGCTCGAGATGAGCTCGAGGCCGCGATGCGGTCGAGCGCAACTCGAGCCCCCCCCCACGCCCGTGCGACTGATAAGCGAGGAAGGCTGCGGATTAAACCCCCCGGGGGGTGGGGGGGGGTCTCTGCCGAGTTCACGCCGGTGACCTGAACGCCTCCGCCCCCTACCCGCCACCGCCACCCATCCACCCACGCCCACCGCCCCCCCCCCGCCCTGTCAACCGCCGCAACATCGCAACTACCCCCCCCCCCTCCACCGCAGGGCGCTCCTCCGGCCACAAATCACGTCGGCTATTTCTGGGGTTTAATCACGGAGCATCTCCATTTACGTAGCACAAACTCGCACCCCCCACACACACATCCACTCACCACCCCACTGGGCTGCCGCCTCCCACCGCCATCACCGCCCCCACCCCCCCCCAAACAAAGTAGCCCGCCGCCCACCGTATTTCCATTTTCATGCAATTGTAACGTTATTCATTCAAAAGGATAATTGAAAAGTACTCTGCTTGGTGAAATGGGGTGGGTTTGTATCTGTGTCTCTCTTCCATTGCTATCTCTTTTCATGCAGCCAGGCCACCCCCCGCCTCCACCACCACCCCCACCGCTACAAGCAGCGATGATGAGACGCGGATAAAAATGCTGCCACCTCGTTTCTGGCACGTGCGCGAGGACATTGCGCGTACGTGCGTGTGCGTTGAACTTCTTTCGCACCGTACGTAGCCAGCCGCGATAATCGGAGGTGCAGTGTTGAGTCTATGGGCAGTTTTGGTCCATGGGTTGTGTTAGTCTATGGGTTGTATGTTGAACTTCTTTCGTACCGTACGTAGCCAGCCGCGATAAACGGGCGAAGGACAGCAAGCTAGACGACACGCAAAAGCAGTTCAAAAGAAATGAGTTTTCAAACTAGACGATTCAAAAGTTGCGTAGCTCCAGTGGCTTCCTAATATTGGAAGGAAGAGCGTTCCAGACGGCCACAGAAGCGTATCCCAGAGTGCGCGACGCGGTGACCACTATCGCTGTTCGATGGCTTAGCCAAAAGCCGCTTGCGGGGATGACCCGGAGTTCGCGTGATGATGGTTTATGCTCCCTGACGAGATCAGCGAGGTGTTGTTGTTGAATTGCGGCAAGCACTTTGTTGTGCAGCGAGTACGACCTTATATAACGTGCGTGCGCGCGCGCGTTGCGGGGCTCATTGAAAACGGAGTCGACCTCGGGGACAAGACAGAGGACCGAACCGGTTCAGATATAACTCGCCACTAAGGGGCCGTCCATAAATGACGTCACGCGATTTTGGACGATTTTTGACCCCACCCCTCGTCACACGGCGTCACAAAAAGTCAGACACCCCCACCCCCCTCCCTCAAATATGACGTCACAAAGCTCTGCCTCCACCTCCCCCCAAAAAATAAAACATGCTTTAAATCGCTTTAAACTATCGTCATTGTAGTGCGTATTTAATGTGGCGCTGCACTCTGATTTTGTAGGAGAAAACATTTATTAAAAAGTATATTTAATTAAGTAGAACGTGTTGTCTGTATTTATTTAAAGTTGCCCATTTTGATGTGACGTCACATTTCTCAACCTTCTCCCACCCTCGTCACACATCGTCACAAATGTCTGACCCCCCCCCCCCACCCCCCCTAGGTGCGTGACGTCATTTACGGACGGCCTCTAAATATATTAACTCTTTGGGCAGGAATCATACTCAAGGTTTTGCTGGGTTCAGAGCGTTGTGGGCTCAACCACTCCGTCAATGGTGGTGTACCCCCGTCACGAGCAGGCCAGGTCAAGCCACTGCTGGGTGAACAAAATAAAAAAAAAACACAAAGTCGCCATTGAACGTTGGCCGTGAGCGGGAACTGAACTCGGGCCGTCCGGGGCTCGTAGGCGCAAGGTGCTCACCACACCACGGCACTACCGCCGCTGCCGCGCGTGGCCACACACACACACAACTCGCACGCCCCCCCCCTCCCTCTCCGTCCTCCCCCTCAAGGGGAGCAGCTCCCAGGTCAGGCTGCTGTCAGACTCCCGCCTTTGTTAAGAAGGCCACGCGCAACAATAAAGGTTGTTGAGTCGTTCCGTCTGCAGTCCCCTGGGCCACCCCGCGCCCCCCCCGTTGGCCCGAGGCGTCAAATGCCAATTAAGGTGGCGACTCGAACGATCACACTCGGGCGAAGGTGGTTCCAGTGGAAGGGAATTGTTACGTCTGGGTCACGGCGCAAATGAGGCAACGATGGCGACCGGCCTTGGGAACGATGCTAGCGTCTAGCCACGCGCCGAAATGGCTTCCGAATTTGTTACGCGGACGGCGAAGTCTCAGATGCAAGATGAACCCGATCGCCGTCGTAGCTGCCTGCGTGTGCGCATCCATCGCGAGCATTTCATTTCGGCACGATTTGGAGCGTCTTGAAAGTCGCAGCTGGGTTTCACGCAGCCGCGTGTGTGGGCCCACGTGTGTGGGCCCACGTGTGGGGGCCCTGGGGGCCCACGTGTGTGGGCCGCGTGTGGGGGCCCACGTGTGGGGGCCGCGGGCGAATGAACAGCGGCGCACAGGCTCGCACGCTTTACGCTGGTTTCAATTCTCTAACCCCAACAGCAGGCAGCAACACTCTCGTTCACTGCACAGTTAGTAGTGCAAGAGGATGGACACGGTACATCTTAACCGTTCTTTCACACGACTACAGAATCAGAATACGCATTTATACTTCGGGAGGAATCCGATGAGTTACAAAGATATTTTTCACAGATGCCCAGTAGCAGTGCAAAGTACAAGAAAGGTAAACACATCATCCAAACGCAGACAAATTAAACTAAACCATCCCCATCCTAGCAGGCAAAGCCGACCAAGGTATTAACTTATTTTTCAGAAGCAACCTGGCCACCGCAAATCATAGCCAAACAAAGTGGCCCATGAAAAAAAAATACTCCATATGTGTCAAAATACATATTTTCTCATTTTCACGTTTATAAAAATTCGGACCGATAATTATTTTTTAATACCATATAGCACCGTACTTGATGAATGAAAAAAGCGACAATACTCAACGTGAGAGGGCAGCGTGTGAAA